CCCCCCCACACCCCGCAGTCGCAGCGTCTGTGGGAACAAGAGAGCCGCAGCAGTGCCTCTGCACTCAAGCGACAGCGCCTTTGTCTCCGCTGAATGGGTGCGTTGCTAAGGCCGCTCGTAGCAACGGAGCCGCTTCCACCTCGGCCTCGGAGGAACACCCAACCCGTCCCGCCCTCCGATGCCCTAGGCCCCCCTGCCCCACCAGGCGACCCACTCAGGTGGCCCTAGCAAGAAGAGCGGGGGAGTGAAGGCTGCCAGCTGTGTGTCCCTCACAGGCCTGCCCCTGCCCCTCCCTCCGGAAAGTCCATGGCGCCCCCCAACTCCCCACCACCCCCATCCCCGGCATTGCAGGTGTTCTCCAGATGGAGAAACTAAGGCTCAGAGAGGGAGACTGCCAGGGTCACCCAGGCCAGAATCCCGCCCAAGGTCTTCCCTTAGCCCCAGTTCCCAGCCCCATCCCCATATTGGGAGGGTGGGTCCCCATGTTGGTTCTCTGCAAGCCCAGCCCAAAGGGTGTACTTTCCTCCCAGGTTTCTAGAGACATTACATGGGAACTAACCTCCAAGCTCTACCTGGGGACCTCTGAAAGGCCCAACCAGGGGCCCCTGAGGGACAGACGCAGCATCTAGACCACTCCCCACTCCCAGGGGCCTCAGCCTCTCTCTCCTTCCAGTGGAGGCCCTGGCCTTGGTGCTCCCGCTTACGCTGCCAGGTCCCACAGCTCTGTCCTCAGCTTCCTGCCTGTGACTGTCCCTCCCCTCTGTCCCTCCCCTCCTGACCTGAAGTTCTGACAGCCCCGTGATGTCTCTGGTAATAAATGGCACTGTAGTGACCTTTCCTTCTCTGGGGGTCACCCTGGCCTGCGGAGGGGGACGGGATGCCAGTCTCCCTGGGAGGAGGGAGGGACAAGGGAAGCTGCCACTTTGGCTTTGGGACTCAAGACAGACCCAGCTTCACCATCAGGGCAGGTGCAGCCAACACTTACTAGCACCTGCTGTGTACCTGGCTGGTGCTAAGCCTTGTACTGCCTTAGAGCTGCAGGTCCTTACCTCAGCCCTGAGACCACCATCACCTCTATTGTACAGAAAAGAAAACTGAGGCTCAGAGAAGGTCTCCACGACTCATACCTGGGTCTCCCCGGCTGGGTAACATAGAGGTCAGGGGGTGGCAGTCGCTGTGAGTGGGAGCCATCCAGGCAGACTGCTCGGAGGAGGCACCAGGGCAGGTGGAACGGCTTCAGGTCTGACGTGTCATGCTGCGAGAGGACCCCAACTCAGAATCTGGCTATGGGACCAGGTCCTGGCACCACTGATTCTGTGGCCTAGAGCAAGATTCTTCTCTGAGTCCCGGTCTCCTCTTGGGTAGAGCCGGTTGCAGAGCTAAGGTGAGCAGCAGTGGTGATGTGTTAGGGCTTGGCACCAGGATGGGCCCCAAGGTAGGGGCCAGGCAAAGGAGAGGCCCAGGGGCTGGGACTTAGGGTGCAGAGGCTGTTAACACCGTCCTTCTAAACTCAGCCTGGCTCCAGTGCTGCCAGAGGACGTGGCACAGCTGAGGAGCGTCAGAGCAGCCTCCCTGCGGGGAGGGAGCAGAGGTATAGCCACTCCAGATGCAGGTGAGTGGAGGTGGGGCAGGGCTGCATGAGAAGAAGCCCAGAGACCCATCAAGGTACAAGCTGCTCCCAGATCCCTCTACGGCCTCAGGGTCACTTTCACCCTGGGCCCCACCTGCATTGAGTCTGGGACAAAATCTATCTGGGGTGTAGTTAACCCACCACACAGCACAGGGGTCTGGGGATTTCATTCTGGGCATGGGGGCTGCTGTGGAACTTCTGAAAGGCCAGTCCATCGTCTGCAGAATGGGGGACATCTGGCCCACTCCGCAGGTGACATGAGGCTGTCCTGTGTATTAGTCCAAGTGCCCGGCACACACAGGCACTCGGGAAAAGTCAGCTGTTGCCAGAGGAGGGTGTGCAGGGGACTGTGCGCACAGTGCAGTTTAAGGCCTTGAAGGCCCCCGGCAGCGAGAAAAGACAGCAGGCCTCCGTGGGGAGGAGCGTAGTTCCTGCTCGGGGAAGATGCAGCGGCACCCCGGGGAGCAGTGGCAGGCTGGGCACCACTGCTGAGGTTCACCCACCGGGGTGCTCGGCCCCGGCAGGTTAGGCAAAGCCCGCCGCCCGCTACTGTGGGGCAGGAGTGGAGGGGCCGGGGGCTGGAGGGGCAGCAGGAAGGTGGCACTGAACTGGGCTGGGCACTTGGTGGCCCCTACTCTCTGCACCTGCAGTGTCCTCTGACTCCTTCCCCTCCCCACCAGAGGGCCCCTGCCTCCTCCCAGGCTAATCATATGGGTGGGTGGGGGGTGGCGGGCGGGCCGGCGGTCAGGGTTGGGGACCAAGGAGTCCTTTCCAGTCTCCCCACCCCCTGCTCCATACTCTCCCTCCCCCTCAACACACTGTCTTCACTCTTCAGCCAAAATAACTCCTCTTAGGTCCCCAAACACTACTTACTGGTTGACACCCCTCCATCCCTCTGCTCACACTGCTGCCTCTGCCTGGACTGACCCCAACTCTTATCTAGCTGGTGAACCCCTGGGCATCCTTCAAAACTCAGTTTGGATGACACGTCAGCTACGAAGACTTCCTGTCCCCCCAGGAGCAGAATCAATCACTTCCTTATCTTGTGCAGTTACATGATGCATCACATCAGATAACAATCTGATTAAGGTAATGTCCTCCTACAAGACTGAACAGTCTCCAGGGGCAGGAACCAGGGTGTCTGCTTCTGGAGCTGCCAGAGGGAAAGGGAGGCTTTGTCCCTTTGCCTAAGCCACTGCCAAGCTGTGTGCCTGGGGCTGCCTCGCCCTAGAAGGGGTGCCTTTTTCTAATTTGAACAGAGGAGCAGGAGTGGCTCTGGAGATAAATTAGTCAGGTTGGTCAAGGCGTGTCAGGGGGATGGAAGTTTGCATCATGGTTGGCCCTTCTCAGTGGGTGACCTTGGACAGGACACTTCACCTTAGTTTCCTCATCTGTAATCTGGGGCTGCCACCTACCAAAGCGGCTGCGAAGAGCAGATGGGGCAAGACCAGTGGACAAGGCAGGCGAAGTCCTGGAAGGGCACCTGGAGCAGAGGAAGCAGTCCTCAGAGTTGGCTGTGCTCACTGCTGCCACCAAGCAAGTGAGAGGGGCCAGGCCTGGGGCCTGTGGGTGTGCCACCGGAGGACGGAGAGGAAAGGGCTAGTGCCCTGAAGTCAGGTGGATCCAGGTTTGAATCTGCCCCAGCAGATGGCCAACTAAGGGCCCTTGCCAAGTGCCTCACAGGCTACTGCAGGGACAGTGAAGTGATGGATGGCATATAGTAGATGCTCATTAAATGACTGTTCCCTTCTGCCCAAGATGGCAGCTGAGATGCACACCAGGGTGGCAGTGAGGCTGAGTCCCCAGAAAGCCCAAGCATCTCCCAGGCCTCCCAGGGTTGGCAGGGCCCCAGGGATGAGGTGGGGCCCAAAGGCCCCCCAGCAGTGCCTGCTATCCCCCACCTTGGCCCTCACACCCCATCCTGCCTCCCCCGAGTTTGGAACCGAAAGTTACCTAGGTGTTGCCTTCGTCCCATTCGGCGCTCGGCCCCGCCCTAGACAGCCCAAACCCACTTAGGAGGCTCTCCTTGGGCCCTAGAATGTAGATAGGCAAAGGTAGCTGGAAACTAACTGCAAAATTTATTCCAGGGCTGCGGGCACTGTGGGGGCCTTAAGGGCACTTCTCACTTGGGGGCTGGGAGTCACCAGCCTGGCCAGGGGTACACGTTTCAGGGGGGAGGACTGAGACAGGGTGGTCGAAGGCGGGGGCGGGGATGCCCAGTCATCTCCAGCTGGGCGAGCTCAGCGCAAGCTGCAGCGGCAACGTGAAAGCAGGACAGACAGTTGGATGCCCAGCCTGGCGGCAGAGGACAGCTGAGGCCCCTCCCCTGTGTCTGGCCCTGGAGAGTGTCTCTCAGGACATAGGACAGGAGTTGAGGCCAGGGAGTTAAGGCCCAGCTTCAAGGGTGTACAGTAAGGAACCCAATGGGAAGGGCCAGTGAAAGACGGCTCATCAGCAATGTCCCTGATCTGGAGACCCATACATCCTCCCCAAGATCACCTGGATTCCCACCCACAGAGACTCTGAGCCCCCCGCAGGTCAGGCTGCTGTTCCTCTAGTGGGCTGGGGTGGGGGTGGGGGGCAAGCTCTTCTCTGGATTGGAGTGAGGGCTCAGAAATAACGACCCAGCACCACCCATGGGGTACTTGGTATGAGGGTGTTTGGAAAGAATCCATGGGCTGGTCTTGGTGCTAATCCCCAGTCCCAGCCTCAGACCTCAAATTTGTCCCCTGCCCCTCCACATACACACCTTTCAAGGAGTATCTAAATTAAAAAACAAATAAAACAAACAAACAAAAAACTTCTTGACTACAGCTTTGCAGATAAATACCAGCCTGGAGGGCCAACCGTGGGTGGGGCTAGAACAGTTGATTGTGCCAAACTTCTCTGCCGGGAGAGGGTTAGAAAGATGATTGCAGCAAAATTCTTTGCAGATAACATGTCAAAATTCTCCCCTGCAGACATCAGATGGGATAGAAGGTTTAGGGAGGAGGTCTTTGGGTCCTAACCAGTCTCCCAGTGTCCTCTAGGGCCCACCAGTCCCTTGCCTAATTTTGCAAACTCTGTTATCCCTAGTTTACAAAACAGAGGGCTTCCCTCCTGGTCTCTGGGAGGGAGTCCTGGAGACCCTCCTCTCCCCGCCCCCCTCCCCGCCCCCCAGCCCGAGTTGATGTGTCCGCTCAACTTCTCTCTGCCTCTGTTTCCAGGAGAGGGGGAAGGGATGACCTCTGACTCAAGGGACATTGAGGCCCACCAGGGAAGCCGAACCTCCTCCCTGGGCCTGTGCACCAGACTCCAGGACGGATAGCTGGGAGCAGGGGGAGGGAGGGAGTGGTTAGCAGCCACCTCCCTGGGGCACTCCGGGTGGCAGGCAAGTGCCAGTGGTTAGTGGAGACCACCCCACCTCAGCCAGGCCCTGCCCACCTTCACCCACCTTCCCAAACGCAGGGCTTCAGAGAGCTCAGGGGCAGGGGCCTACATGGTGGGGTCCTGGGTCAGCATAATCAAATAAACCATCTGGAGACCACAGGGGTGCTGCGGCCCCTCCCCCGGCCCCGGCCCCCCCTTCCCCCCCGTCACTGGCCCAAGCTCAGGTCTGCTTGGCCTGCAGCATCTCGATGAGCAGGTTGTTTCGGGGCATCTCGTTGCCCAGGTGCTTGTGGTACAGGTATTCCTTGGCCTGCATGCTCAGCGCCCGCACCTCCACCAGGCACAGCAGCAGCTGCTGGAACTTGTCTCCGCAGTGCGGGTAGTGGCACAGGGTGTAATCGAGCAGGGCGGCATTGGCCTTCTCCTGAGCATCCTTCACCAGGCTGTGGTTATTCAGGAACTTCACATCTGCAAAGGGAGGAGCCGTTCACCAGCCCCATCACATCATCAGCACCGTCACTGGCATCAGCAACGCCAACATCCCTATGATCACCAAAGACGTAGGCACTGCCACCATCGACAATGAACCACAATCTCCCTGTCACCACCATGGTGCCATTACCGTTGTTGATGAACGCTGCCACCAGCATCAGTCACCGATACCAGCATCCCTGGTTTTCACACACGTGGTCCCTGCTGCCATCAACAATCAAACCACCGTCGTTCCCGTCACCACCTTGATCACCATCACCATCAACACCTTGGTTGAACACCACCATCAGCGGCAGTCACTGACACTAACAGGCCTGCGGTTATCACACACACGGCCACCATGACCACACAGCCACAAGCACCTGTCACCACCACTGCTGCCATTGTCATCGACCCCACCGTCATCACCGAGACCATCACCAGCCTCACCAGGTGTATCCCTGGACACGTTATTTAACCTCTTAATTTCTTCATCTGCAAAACAGGGTGGCAGTAGTGCCTACTTCACAAGATTGTTGTGAGAATTAAGGGAGTTGATATGTAGAGAGTGCTCAGAAGAACAGTGTCCGGCACTTCATAAGACTCAGTGTGTTAGTGTTGTTATTACTCCTACTCTCACCATGTCCAGGAAAAACACCATCCCCAGCCCCATGGTCAAAACCATCCTGTTGCCATCATCCTCGGGGTAGGCGCCATCAGCATCACCACTCCGCCACCATCATCATTATCCCCCATCAGCACCATCACCAGAGAGGCGCACTGTGAGTGGAGGGGTCCCATCCCCCATGCTAGAGTGTGACAGGCACTCCTTTGGTCCATGCTCTGACCAATCAAGAGGCTCTGGTACCCCAAGGAAATTTTCTCATGGGGCCGTGGACGTTCACTGCAACAATATTTACGGTGATGGGGAGGTGGCCTGGATGGCCAGGTGGTGGCTGCATCCCCGGGAGTCCAGTGCAGTAGACAGAAGTAATGGAGCAGACACAGTACTGAGCAAATGGACGGGCTTTTAAGACCATGGGGCTGAGTGGGAAAAAAATACAAAAAATAGGATAAAAAACAAAAAAGGGAGATCCAGAATGAGATCTATAAAGTAAAGCCACCTACTTAAATTAAAAACACTAGCGCACAAAGCATGCACCTTGTGTTAAGAACAGAGACAAACAAGAAGAACCGAGGTAAACGCAAAAGGGACGGTTGGTGATGGGAGGGAGAGGTGGGTGGGTGGCTCTGCGTGGACCAATGATCATTTGTACCAGGGAGAGAGGAGTGTGATTAATGCATCCCCTGTCCTGAAGGTCCAGTGAAGAAATAAAAATTGTCTTTAGCGTGAAGTAGATGGTTGTTCAAATCCCAGCCCCACCATTTAGAATCGGTGGCCTGTGCCCTGTCCTCTCCCGACCTGAAGGCCTTCCTCCTCTACGAAAGGGGCCGTGCCCACCTTGCAGCGGGGGGAGCTCGGGTGCCAGGGCACTGCACAGGTGCCTGGCCCCCAGGGGTGCCCGTGGAGGGCCAGTTTCCTGTCACAGGAGTCCTGATCGCTGCTTGCAGGCTTTTTTCAGCTCCTGGGCAGCATCACCAGCTGGTGCCCTGCCGAGGGGCTGCAAGTCGGCAGGAACCCACAGGACCTGTCCCCATCCCCCGCTCCAAGCTCCGCCAGGCCTGGGATGCATCGTCCAGCGATTCAGAAGATGGTCGTCCATCCACTTCCCCTGCGTTCCCATCACCCCCAGCCCTGCTGCTGCGGGGGAGTCCGGAGCCCAGCATGCACAGCCCTTGGCCCTTGTAATCCCTCTTAACACCCACTGCGCCAGGAGGGCTGGACGCTCCTGGCAACCCTGATCCCCAGCCGCCCCCAGCATGCCCGCCGAGGCCTGTGTTGTCCAAAGTCGGATTTAGGGAAACCCAAGCTGGACCCAGGGCGTATGGCAGGATCTGGGCCTCCCCCCATCCTCGTCCCCATCCCCCTCACCACATTCAGTAAGTGAGCCAGGGTCATATTCTTCCTGGCCTCCGCAGGATCACCATTAGCCCACAAGGCACCTTGTGTCAGTTAGAAATAAGGTCCCCCATGTCCACAGAAAGACAGCTTGGTGAGGGGCATGCAGGCTGGATTTCAGCCTCTACCTTTCCCCTGTCTAGGTGCCCTTGTCCAGTAAACAACCTGCCCAACTGTACATAGCAGCCCTGTTCCCTAGCCTGGCCCTCTCCAAATAAGCTCAAAGGTCATGGGAAATCTCCCCACCTAACTAGCGTCTCCTGGGGGCAAGAGGTTCTTAACTGGCCCCGTCCCTTTCCCAATCTCTTTCCAACCCAATCTACCTTCAGTCCCCACCATCCCCAGGGCAGTTCTCCTACTTGTCTTCTGACAATTTACAATAGGAGGCTGGGGGTCCAGAGAAGGGTAGGGACCAGCTCAAGGCCACACAGCAGTAAAGGGGCCCAGAAGAAACAGGTGAGGGTATGGGGAGGACTGGATAAGATGCTGCAGTAGAGGCAGGAGTGGGAGGGGGCTGGGGAGGACCAACCAGAGCCTCGGCTTTACCAGGATTTACTGTTCCCAGCAGCAGTGTGACAGGGACAGCAGGGCGGAGTGCAGGGTGGGGAGGTACAGAACAAGGACAGCTTTCAGGGACACCCCCCTCCTAGCAGCTCTACGGGTCCTGCAGCTCTCGGGAGGCTGGAGACCCCCACTGCCCCCACAAGGTGGGCTACAGGGCTGGGGGCGGGAAGCATGGTCACTAATTGAGCCCTGGCCACTACAGTACAAGACAGGAGAGCTGTTTCCCCCGCACCTGCTGCACCTTCCCCGCCCCCACCCCCTCCATCACTTAATCCCCACAGACACCCAGGCAGGCAGGAAAGGGCATCTTCCATGGACAGCGACAGTGGGGCAGGCCTGGAGCACACAACAGATACCAGAGCCAGGATTCAAACCCAGATCTCTCTGGCTCCAAAGCACTATGGGCAAGCAGAGGTGGGGTCAGGCCTGGATGAGGGGTCAAGCCTGGACCCTGGTTCCTGGGGGATTAGATGACGTGATGACTTTATATTCCATCCAACTCAGGAGTCCTGTCCAAGGGCCACCAAGCCTGGGGTCCTTGGTTTCCCCAGGAAGGTTACTCTGGACACCTTCTTGGAGAGAAACGTGGTCAAGTCACGCCCCTTCTCCCAGCCTGCCTCTAAAGGGACTGTCGTGAAGATTCGCTGGGTTGCTGGATGTGACAGAGCCAGCAACCCTCGGTACACCACACCCTTCCTTCCTTAGACACACAAACCTGGAGACGCCCCCTTCGTGCGTCAGGGGCTCAAACCCCAGCTCCACCACCAGCTAGGTGACCCGGGGCAAGTCCCTTCCCCAGTCTGAGCCTCAGTTTCCCGTCATCTGAAAAACGGGGGCAGATTAATCTCCGCCTCTCAGGGCACCGAAGAACTGGACCTCATCTGCCCAGCTCTGGGCCTTGAGGCACCGCGGGCTGGAGCCGGGCCTGCTCAGCTCCCAGCAATCCGGGGGGTGGGAGGTAGGAGGGGGCTGGGAGATGGCAACCCCACCCCCGAGAGCAGCCCGCTAGCTCTGCGGAGCCAGGGGGCCCCCAGGTTCTCAGAAAAGCCCCCTTTTCACGGTTTAATTGAATATTTGAATAATCCTTTCATTCCAGCGAGACATAAAGAATGTTGTCCCAATAGCGGTGACTCAGGCAGGCGCCCCCGCGCACAATGGCCCCTCGAGTGGGGCTGCTATTCAGGCCGCCTTTTGTTGGCACGAGCAGTGGGTAAATTGCAAACGCTTAAGGGAATGCTGCTGCCGCCGCCTCAATGCAAGTCAGAAAATCGAATGTTAGGTCAATCCATTAAGCTTCGATTAAGTCCTCTGCGGAACAATGCCAGCCGGGCCCATCTTCATAAACACCGTGATTGCCAGGAGAGAGGCACTAATTTTAATTAAACCTCCTTACCTGCCTTCGCGCCTGCCTGAGCCGGCTATTTAGACACCAAATGGCACCCTTCTGTGGAGGCAGGCAAGAAGGAGGCACTGAGCGGGCTGAAGGGTGGAGGGGTTGGGGGACAGCCATCACACAAGTTCAGGCTGAAGCAGCCCAGGGACGCGCTGCCCCGGGGTGATGTCCAGCATGCCAGCTGGAGGACAAGGGGCAAGTGGCCACCCCATTCTGTGCCCCAGTTCCCTTGGGGACCCAGCTCTGGTGGTCTGGGTGGGATCATGGGAATAGCCCCCTCCCACCTTCCAGACTCTGGGCAAATCTTCCCCCTCGTCTTGCCCAAATTTATCCACTTCACCCCAGCCCCACGTCTAGCCTCTTGCAGGGCTCTGGGTTGCCACCTGCCATCCTTTTCCCATGCTGCAGTTGGAAGGACCTTGCCAAAATGCAACCTTGATCATGTTTCTCCCTGCTGAAAATCCTCCCCAAGGGAAGGTTCAACGTACTGGCCTGGCATTCAAGGCCTTGCACAGCTCGGCCCCTGCCCACCTCTCCAGCCTCCTCCTCACCCTCTCCCTGCCCCACAGGTGCTTCCAGACTTTCAGGATCACCCATCCCTGTGCACAAGCTGTTCCTTCAGTCTGGAGTGCCCTTGCTGCTGCTTGCTTTGTTTCACCCAGAACACTCCTGCTCATACTACAAGGCTCAGCTCAGAGGCCCCTCCTCCAAGAAGACTTCCCTGATATCCTAGGCATAGTTGTCTTCTCCTCTTTGGCCCAGCCCTGATCACACTGGACTGCCCAGGCTCCTCTCCACACCTGAAACCTGTCAGCCAGCGGCCCCTGTGGCTCCCCTGGGCTCCTCTCACTGCACACCTACGAGCTCGGACAGGCCTGGGTCCCGGGTCTTCTCCCCTCACAGCCCCAATACCACTAGAGTTTCTGGCCCCCACCCTGAGGGTCACTGTCCCCAAAGACAAGGCACTGTGCCAGACACACAGTGTGCAATAGAGACAGAGAGAGACTCGTTCCTTCCTTCACTTCATTCACTAACTTGTTCACTTGCTCGTGAACTTAATGATGGCTATGATAGAAACAATACTGATGCATACTCTGAGGGGCCAGGCCATGCACTGAACATTTTGGGGAATTTTCTCATTAAATCTCATAGCAAGTTAAAGATGATTATGATGTTCTTCTTACAGATGGGGAAATAGAGGCTCAGAGAGGGGAGTGACTTGCTCAAGGGCCCACAAGCAGAGAGAGAGTCTAGATTTAGAATGCAGGTGGTCCATCGCTAGTCCCCTTTCCTAACCACTGCTCCACCCTGCCTCGCATGTGCACACACATGTGCACACTCTCACTCCTCCGTCCCACCCGCTCCAGCCTGTTCCAGCCAAGCACTGTAGACCCTCCCAGTCTCCCGGCCCCAACTGCCTCCTCTGGAAAACAGGATGAACGTTGGCATGCAGGAGGGGCTGTGCACTCATGGTTCTGAGTACAGCTCCTTGCCTGGACCCAGAAGAGGAGGGCTGCGCTCAGCCTTGATGTCCTCCCTACACCCCATAGAAGGAGGAATCCTGGACTTATCACCTGGTGGAGGCCAAGGCTGTGCCAGGCCTGGCAGTCCCCAGCACCGGGGCTTTTGTAGGAAGAGGGGCTGAGGGCTGCAGGCATGTGCCTCAGGCCCCGGGTGGTCTGGAGAGCCAAGACGTGGTCCCTGCTCTGCAGGGGGCACCAAGATGGAGCCCTGGCCAAGGAACCTGGTGGCCCGCAGCCCCACCCTCCCCAAGACCTCCTAGTGGCCTCTTGACGAAGGTCAGGTCAAGAACTGTCACCTCACAAACCACCACAGAACCCACACTACAATACAGTGTGTCCCAAGCACGCCCCTCAAATCCCTCACATCTCCACAGTCACCACTCAGCCATATACAGATTGCTCACACCACATGACACATAAAATCCCACTAGCCCATAAAAGTTCACAGTCTATACATGCGCGAAAACGAAGGCACAGACACGGACATGACCCCTGGAGCCTGCACACCCCAAACCACACACATCTGTGGCTCTGGTGAAACTGAGGTTGGGAGGAGGGTACCACTGCAGGCAGAGGAGGAAGGGGGCTTCCCCAGCTGGAGCCAGCCTGGCTCAGGTCCCTGAGGCCCCGCCAAGGGCTTCAGGCTCCTAACTGGCTGCCCGAGATTCAGCCCTCACCCCCCAGCATGCTCGACCCCTACCAACCCCTGCAGCCTTGCCGATACGCCCTCCAGCTACCAACCTGCTGCGCCAGCAGAGTCAGGAGGCCCAGCCCAGGCACCCAGTCACACGGCCACGGCCTGAACACAGGGCTTCCCCCAGTCAGTACGTCACTAATCACCCCCTCCCAGCTTGTTTTACCCACTGCTTCCCCAGCTGCCCCCACTCTTGAGCAGGCACACCCTTGCCAGACTGTGGCTGTGATGCCATCTGCCACAAAGACAGTGTCTCGATTCTGCCCCCTCCCCAGGTGACAAGGCATTCACGCCCCTCTGTTCCAACCTTCCATCCCATCTACACCTCTGCTAAAAGATTTATTCCCCCCCCCCAACAAACTCCTACTCATCCTCCAAGACCCTGCTCAGATGTCCTTCCAGGAAATCTTCCCGGCAGATCCCTTGCTCCCCATCCTGGGTTCCCCATCTCTCTGTCTCAGCCCTGATGGCACTGGCTGTAGGCCTCTCCCAGACTGGGAGCCGCCTGAGAGCAGGGAAAACCTCTGTGAACGCAGCATTGCTGGGCACAGGGAGGGTACTGGACATGCTTGCTGGGTGAAGGACAAAAGGAGGCTGACCTGATGAGAGCTCAGAGGGAGGGTGGAGACCTGAGCGGCACAGGCTGGGCTGGGGTTAGGAGGGCAAACGGAGGGAGACAGCAGACACTTGGGGAGCCAGGTGAGCTGGCGGGCTGGGCTGGCCCTCTGCCCCGGCCCTGCTTTGTTTTCCTCCCTGGCACTTACCGAAATCTTCCAGGCTATACATTTTACGAATCATTTCATTAATTTATACATTTTACTAACCATATTATGCTTATTGTCTCTCTCCCCAACAGAAGGTCAGCTCCTTGAAGACAGGGATTTGGGGTCTTTTTTGAATGAGTGAATGAATGGGCAAAGGGGTCTGGGCCCCAAAGAGCTCAGAGTCAGAATTCAGACACCCTTAGAGTGGGGAATTAGGAAACACAGGGACCTCAGGATGGGAGTCAGGGATCAGAAGCTCCTGAAATCACAAGGGCATTTTCTGGGGTGGCATCGGCACTTTTCTAGGGCTGTCAGCTGGGAATCTACCACATCCTCAGGAGGGTTCCTTGTCCCATCAAGGGCAAGTCTTAGACATTATCCTGGCCTTCTGTCCTTCCAAACAAAGAAACTCAGGCCCAGAGAGGAAGCAGGCCCTGGGCCAGGTCCCCTTTATTCACTAAGAGAGGCCCCCATCGGAGAGCCCCACCTTAGGGTCTCCTTGCCAGCCCAACCCCCACCCTCAGGCCAGGCCTCCCTCAGCCCACTCACCGAGGCTGAAGAGGATGAGGAACTTGAGGCAGACGAACTCCTGGCGGTCCAGCTGCAGCGCGTGCAGCTGCAGCACAAGCTCCTGCGCCCGAAGCACCAGGCTGTGAAGCAGAGAGCCTGCCTGGGTGGCCACCATGGTCAGCTCCACCTGGGTGGGCAGAGGGCAGGGGTCAGGGACACGAGGGGAGGCCGTGGATAGGAGGCACTGGTCAGAAGCTGGGGGTCAGGGGTGCCCAGCCTTGGAGCTGAGCCAGGTGGGGTGGGGGAGGCGCGGCACCTCCTCAGGCCCCTGGACCCCTCCCAGGCTCCCAGCTCTGCTCCCACTGCCCTGCCCAGAACTGAGGGCCCCCGCGCAGCAGAGCCGACACCAGGCAGGTGTGTGCAGAGGGAGAGCTGAAGGGTCCTTCATGCACAAAGAGCTGCCGCCAGGCCCAGTGGTACAAGCAGCTTTTGTGTTTTGTGTGGTGTCTGCAGTGAGCACCACGTCGCACTGGGTGGGGGGCGGGGCAGCCGTGCCTGGATCCGCGTGGATGTGGCCACATGACCGCCCGGGGCCCACACATGGACACCTGAACTGCAGATGTGGCCACACCTCAGCTCACGTTCACACACATGGAGGGACACACTCACAGCCTTGTCCACCTGCTTCAGGACGTGAACACACACACACACACACACACCCTTGTAGGGTCACATCACAGGGTAACACAGACAGACACATGCCTGTGTATATGTTCCCACTGACATGGTGACGGGCAGATCTCAACACCTACCCACTTATGTGTGTGGAGATGTTTGCACAATAAAATACAGGAGCACACACACGCACGCACGCACGCACGCACGCACAGGACTGTCCCATAGCCTCAGAGACTTCCACCCATGTGTTGACAGGCGCTGACACTCACACCTCAGACGCTTTCATGTGCTCGCCCAGGTGGCCTCAAAGTTACACCCTTGCAACCAGCATTCTGCTGGCCCTGGATGGCCTGAGACACCCAGGTGAGAACAGAGGATGAGGACAAAGGGTTGGAGGTAGGGGGTGGGAGCAGGGCCTCAGTCTCCAATCTCTCTCCCCAAGCACCTATGAAACCCACTCCTCCTGTATCCCCCCCCCCCAGGAGTGATGCTCCCTCCACCAGGCTAGACCCTGGGCATCAACCTCCCTTCCCTTCTCCCTACTTCCCTCCATTTCCCCTACACCTCCTCTCCCCTCCTCCTTGAATTGTGCCCTCCCAGGTCCCCAGTGTTCTGAGCAGCAGGTGGCTGCCTTCATTTCCTCCTCACCCACCATCTTGTCCCCTCCATGCGCTTCCTCATATACAACCTGGTTGTGTCCTTCCCCACTTAAAACTCTTCTGATGTTCCCTGCTTGATTCCAGGAGCCACCCCACCTGCTTCCCATCCTAGTGCCCCCAATTCCCTGCTCTAAGAGTGCCCAAATTCTGACTCTGAGCTCTTTGGGGCCCAGACCCCTTTGCCCACCCATTCAGCCAGCCAGCCAGCCAGCAATCCTTCCATCTATCATTCAGGATTTAGAACCTGCAAGGTCTTGCCCATCCCAGCCCCCAGCCACACCTCCAACCTTATCTCTCACCTCATCCCAGCCACCACAGGGCACCTGCCCACCAAACCCATGTCCCAGCACACCGGCAGCTCCCGGCAGCTCAGCAGTCCTAACCTGCCTCTCTAAGCCTGGCCCGTGCTGCCTCCTCTGCGTGTGTGGAGGTGGGGATTGCCCCTCCACCCCGTCACTACCCGACCGGCCCTTATTTATTCTTTCACTACCCAGCGCCACCATCACGTCCTCCAAGAGCCTCCCTGACCCTCCCCACATCCCTGAGCTGCTTCCCCCAGAGCAGGGCTCCCAGGGCCTGGTTCCTCTCAAGGTCAAAGCTAGGGCTGATCAGAGGGAGGTCGGGCTGGTGGGTATCCCATGAACCTGGGGAAAGGGCTGATATTCAGTGGTGCCCAGGGCCAGCCCTGGAGAGGCCTAGGACCTCTTCTGGGCCCAGAATTCTGGAAGTGCATGGTGGGGGGTCAGGACAGAGCACAGTAGGGTCTGGTCACCTCCTGCCCAGTGACCAGCAGGATGCTGCCCTCCTTGCCATGTTGGATCTGACGGTAGATGTGGTCGAACACCAGCAGCTCACTCCAGCAGTTCTGCAGTAGTGTCATCTGGTCGGCCACCTGCAAGGAAGAGGCACACAGGAGTCCGGGGTCCAGCCACGGCCCAGCTGGGGACCGTCCCCTCGCTGCTCCTCCTCCCAGCTCTGAGTTCAGCAGTTCAGCTGGGTATGTGACCTGGGCAAGCTGCCCAACCTCTGTGTCCAGTTTACCCATGTGTCTTCTTCATCAAAGTGTGGCAGGGGCAGGGGTCTAGCAAAATAACAAGAGGGTCCAACGGAGGTGCTCAGGCCCCGGCTCTGCCTCTTACAAGTTGTATGACCTTAAGCAAGTTCTGTAACCTTTCTGGGCCTCAGTTTTCTCATCTGGAAAGTGGGCAAAGTATTAGAAGGTGGTCTGGCACATATTAAGCCCACAATAAATGTTACAGAATAATGTCCACAGAAGTGTTTTGTGAAGGATTCCTTTAAATGCAAGGGAAGATTAGTATTAATTTTTCCTTGTGCCCATTTGTCCTGTGGTCACATCTCTAGCAGCCTGAATCACTCAAAAAGGAGCCATGTAGAGAAAACAGAGGGCTTCCTCGCAGTCTTGTGCAGAGCTTTGAAGTTCATGGGAAGAGAGGAGGTCCGGCCCAGGGAATGAGCAGGTGGCTGGCAACGGTCTACATCAGAAGCAGGAATAGAAGGGCACATGGGGCCGATTCTGAATCCCCAGGCTGCACTGAGGGGCGCTCAGTGTGAGGGCAGGGCCTATCCTCCAGTCTGGGGGATCGCCACATTCTAGCATGGCAAGAGTAGACCCTCATGACAATGACGAGTGGGACTCAGGACCATGGGATGCCAGAGCCAGAAGGGCCCTTAGGGATCTCCTGGCCTAAACTCCTATTTCCAGACGAATAATCTGCCACCCAGTGAGGGCAAGGGACTCTCCTGGGGTCAGAGAGAGGCAGAGCCAGGCCAGGGCCACGGCTGGCATTCTCGGTCCACAACTCTCCACAGTGACAAATACTGAACACTTCTGGGTGTTCAGAACTGAGCTGGGTGCAGCGTGTCATCCTAGGAGGACACAGTGCAGACTCCAGTCCCTTTCAGCATCCGTGGCTCATCAGCCAGCTGCCATCGACCCAACGGGCACCCCCCCAGGCACCTTCCTGGGCCATGCCCTACAGTGAATGCAAATCACCATAGCTAACAGTCACTGCACTGCAGCTCCACAAGCCTTTGTAGTTGGTACTAATGTTATCCCCAATCCATGGAGAGAGGACACTGAGCTCAGAGAGGTCAAGTAACTTACCCAAGGTCACACAGCTCTGTCTAGTTCATCTCTGCTCTTGGCACTAGGTGTGCAGGAAGACCCACCCTTGCCACCCTAGAGTTCACGGCAGGCTCACTACATCACCCATGAAGCTCTCCCCATCCTCTGGACATGGCACCTGCAACATCTGATGGCACCATTCATGCCTCTGTCTTCCCTGACACCTGTGGGCTCTGGGAGGAACAACCCCCAACCTGGAGACCAGAGTAGCCCAGGCAGCCCCTGGCCTGAAAAGAAACTGGCCCAGCCCTAACCAACAGCTCTCTCTTCTCGGGGGCTAGAAGCCCCCCCCCCACCGCCCTCTGCTCTGCTCCTCTCCTGGGAGTGGCCCTGGGGCCTGTTCTCAGACAGACAAAGGGAGAGAAAAGTGGATAAAGAGCAAAGTGAGCAGCTTGGACACACAGTCAGGCTTCCTCCAGGCCTCGCCTGCTCAGCCCTTCCCCAGCCTGTGTGGCTGAGAACAAGAGGAAGGGTCTGTCTCTATCCTGCTCTGAGTCCCCAGCCTCCCACCCTCCCCTCCTCCCCTCCCCTCCATGTCAAGAACCCATACCTCCCCCTCCATCTCCTAGCAGAAGGTCCATCCTAGAGCCCCATTACTGTCAGAACAGGAAGCCCAGCCAGGGGGACCCAAGGCTCAGCCACAGGTAGCCCTGGATGGGAGGGGCCGGGAGAGACTGAGAACCAGGCAAGGATGCACTGCAAAGACACCTCGCCTTATCGCCTTATCGGCTTATCCTGCCTCAGGAAGTGGCTGGTCCCCAGAGAGCCTCCCCATCACAGCTTCCAAGGAGGGAGGCAAGGCTCAGTGAGCGCCTAGACCAGGCCCTGTTCCCAACACGCCCGGGACTCCTCACCCCTGCCCACTACAGATAAGGAAGCAGAGGCTCCCCTCAGGTAACCGCAGGGAGCTGGGCTCTGCACAGACCACCCGCCTGGGCTGCTCTTCTTGGGGGGGCGGGGGGGCTGGCACTCCTGGAGCCCAAGCAGGAGGTGCCTGGTCAGGGAGTCGCACTGGCCCACTGGGAGGGGTCTTGGGGAGGGTGGGGCTGCCAGTCGCACTGGGAGAGGGAGGACGTGCAGGGTTGGGTTCTGCTCCCCACCTATTGGGGCCCTAGGGAGCAGACACCCTTGTGCCTGAATTAAAGGAACAGGGGGTGGGGAGGTGGAAGCGCAAGAGATAAGGGGGAGAATTAGGAGATAAGCTGACTGAGCTTTGGGCAGAAAGCAGAAGGGGTCACAGTGACCCGGCTGGCCAAGCCCTGGGAGCAGACTCTGTACCCAGACCTCAGACCCCGGGAGTGGGGGCAGCCCTGCCCACGGGGCTGATAGGGGTGCAGGGCAGAGAGATGCACTACGGTGGCTGGGCTTTGGTGCCCTGTGCCCTCTGATTCCCGCTTAGCCACACACCCTCTCCGGCCCTGATTTCCTATTCTGAGAAATGGAAAAAAATAAATCCTCCCTCTTTTGGTTAGAGAAAATATATGAGCACAGCGGTGTCAGTCATGAAGGGCTCTGGGAACCCATGGTCAGCTATTCTGGGGACGCTGCCCTGGCCCAGGTTCCCCTCCCCACCAGCCAAGCAATCGTGCTTCCAGATTCTTTACTAGCTCTTCCCCTAGATGGACACATAAAGACACCAAACTCCAAACACTCCCCACACAGATGAACACACACACACACACACACACACACACACACACACACACACACACACACACACACCCCTTTTTTTATATAAGAAAAACACA